AGATGAGTGTATATAGATGAGTGTATATAGATGAGTGTATATAGATGTGTGGATGTGTGCATCTACAGGTAGATGTGTGGATGAACATAAAACAGATACTTCACAAGAATGGAAAAAACTGTTCTTAGACGTTGGGTTTATTAATTTTGTTCCTTAGGGATGCAAATTACAAGGATTTTAAGCTGGTTTCCATAAATAAATCACCTTCTAAATGATGGCATTTTGGACAAACTGCTTTGATGTTGGTTAGAAGGATAGCAGAAATGATTTCTCAGTAGCTGAGCCAAGTCCTGAAATGTAAGCAGGACAGGACATACAAGGAGAAGAACGAACACAGTAGAGGGGATTAAAAAAAAAACAGGAAAGGAAAAAGAGGTAGAAATGGTAAAGTTCATCAAAATACCACATCCAGAGGACGTCCTCAGTTTCTTTGGAAGGGTGCGGGGGAGTTCTTGCTCATGTTGGAGTTGGATTAAGAAGCAAAAGGAAAATTACCAAACACATTTGCAGTGTCCAAATCAAAAACAGGGCAGTTTGGCCAAGTTTTAAGATTCAGAAAGTGGCTCATCTTATGATGATATCCCAACAGAAGAGACATTTGAGAGCTGAGATTTTCTTTAGCACTTGCCATGTTTTCCTGCTTGACTGAGGGCTAGTTTGGATCCCACAACTGGACAACGATGAATCTCTTGGGCAAAATTGAGGAAACTGCACCGTTAGACCTTTTTCTAGCTGAAAAGGCTCACAAAACATTCATAGGAAGCTGGTATTGGACAATTTCCTTTGGCAGACTCTTTTCCTAACCATGTCTCTTGTTGCACCCAGTGGTGGGATTCAACTGGTTCCCAATGGTAGATAACTTTTTGTGCAGTTTACGAACTGACTGAATTGCCCAGCCCCTCGCCCCTCCCCTCCCAGCCCCTTGCCCCTCCCCTCCCAGCCTGGCCTGAGAAGACAAGGCCAATGGCAGGGGAGAGAGACCTACTCTGGCCTACCATGCTCCGCCAAAGGGCTGCTTCAGAGTGGGAACACAGTGAGGCTCGGCTGCCTTTTGGGCCCAGCTTTTGGCTTCTGCAGGCCTCTGGGCAGCCCAAGAGAAAATGCCTGGTTTGGGCACACAGGACTCCACGATGGAGCCCTTCCCGGGGAGCAAAGCCTTGGACGACCTGACCTGTCCCAAAGACCTCAAGGGGCTCCAGAATTTCCATGCTGGCCTGAGCACCCTGCCCTTCAGATCCCAACTGGGCTGACGCCCAGTTCGGGACAGATCAGGTCTTCCAAGGCTTTGCTCCCCAGGAAGGGGTCCATCGTGGAGTACTGTGTGCCCAGACTAGGCGCTTCCTCTCGGCCCTCCCACCTTGCAGGAGGCGGTGGGAAGAGGAAGTGTGTGGCTGGGAAGGCTGCCTGCAGTTCTTGCAGACAAAACCAGGATGTCTGCGAACCCACAAGTGAGTCACAGGCCCTGCAGGGGTGGGGAGAGTTTCTGGGGGTAAGGATTAGGAGGGACATGATAATTGTCTTCCAGTATTTAAGGGGCTGTCACAAAGAAGAGGGGATTGTCTTATTCTCCAAAGCACCACAGATAATGGGTGGAAACTTATTAAAGGGAGATTTATCCTAGAAGTAAGGAGCAATTTCCAAACAGGGAGAACAATTAATCAAAGGAACAGCTTGCCTCTCAAAGTTGTAGGTGCTCCATCACAAGAGGTTTTCAAAAATAGACTGGACAAACAAAAATAGACTGGGATGTATGAGGTCTTCTGCCTTGAGCAGAAGGTTGAACTAGAAGACCTCCAAGATACCTTCTAACCCGAGGGTCTGCAACCTGCGAATCTAGAACCACATGCAGCTCTTTTGGCGCTCTGCTGCTGCTCCTGGTCAGTTGATCCCACCACTGGCTGGCCTCTCCCCTCCCCGTCATTCCTCGCCTGGCCTCAGAAGGTAAGGGGGATGGCGGGGGATGGAGACTCGTTCCCTATTCCAGAGCAGGAGGCGATTGGGTGGGAGTGAGTGATGTCGAGTGACGCCCACGCAGTCGCATCGGTTGTTAAATGATTGGCTCCCAGTGTTTTATTTTCTGTGGGAAACAGGTCCAAATGGCTCTTTGAGTGTTTAAGGTTGCAGGCCCGTTCTAGGTCCTTGGGGCAATTTTGGAGAAGTGTCAAGAGAAATGCTAAAAGGGCAATCAGCTTGGGATTAAATTCCAAATGAAATTGGGTCTTCAGGGTAAGGAGACATGAAGAACTTTCAACCGCAGGTTTCTAAAAATCTATTAAAATGAGTGTCTAGAGCAGAGGTCTCATTCTCGCGGCCCGCGGGCCAATTGCGGCCCGCAGGACGATATCCTGTGGCCCCCACCGTGATATGAAAGTATAATATTAGTGTATAATATAAATATAAAGTATAATATAAAGTATAATATTATGCGGCCCAGCCTCACCCAGCCTCTGCCTCCAGCGGCCCCCAGGTAAATTGTGTTTGAGACCCCTGGTCTAGAGGCAGCTCTTTAACTCATTATTCCAGGGTCCTAATGAGGGTCTTAGTGTATTTCGTTTAGGAATAACAGAATAACAGAGTTGAAAGAGACTTTGGAGGTCTTCTAGTTCAACTCCCTGCTCAGGCAGGAAAACTGAGGATGCCAAAATCTGAGTGGAGGGCCTGGGAAAGGGTCAGAATAACAGAATAACACTTATAAGGAACCCGGGGGGGGGGGACGTCTCCATACCATTTTGGAGAAATGGCTGTCCAGTCTTTTATTAAAAACCTCCAGTGATCGAGCACCAGAACTTCTGGAGATAAGCAATTCCACTGGTTAATTGTTCTCACTGTCAGGAAGTTTCTTTCTAGTTTTATGTTGCTTCTCTTTTTGTTCAGTTTCCATCCATTGCTTCTTGTTTTGCCTTCTGCTGGTTTGGAAAATACATGCCCCCCCCCACCCTGTTTTGTGACCTGCCTATCACATTCTTGGGCAAAGCATATGAGCCATTTCCTCCTTTCAGTGGTCCATGAAAATACATCTATGGTATGTAGATGCAGACAATAAAGTCAAAAAAGGTGAAGAACATTTTTACAGAACTATAGATATGTTGAGGCCTTTGAGGTGAGCAGCCAGGAGGCGAGACAAGGCTGTGTGTGACAAGGAGTGTCTGAGAGGGGAGGGGCGAGGCAGAGCGAGTCATGGCAAGAAGTGAGGCACCCCTCAACGTGACTGATGTCGAGTTGGCCACGCCCACCCAGTCACATGACCACCCAGCCATGTCTATCCAGCGGGTCATTAGGGCAGAGAACCGGCTGTTAAATTATTTGAATCTCACCACTGGTTGCACCTTAGTATTGCTACAAGTTTGGGATGAGGTAACAGCTAAACTGGCAATATCCTTTTGTGCCAATTCTATTTAAAAAACCACAAGTATTGAAGGGTTAATATCACAAATGCAGTAAGTTAAGAGAAAGTATGCTTGGAGATTGTTCCAAAGTCTTCCAGTGAGACTAGATTCCCTTCTTTCTTTCAGTCTTCCTCAAACTGGGATGGAATTCCTTTCACACTACAAAATCAAAAAGGAGTCCATGTTGATCGACTTGATGTGTGATTTTATACAGCCTGGTAAAATCCTTCCCCTTCTTTTGGATGTTTGTGGTTTACTTTCAGCACAATCTTTTTCTTGCTATTAATTAATAAACTGTAGAGGTTTTCTCAGCTTTCTATTTTCCCATTAGTTTAATTTACTTTACTTTACTTTATAGTCATTGCACTTCGTACAATGAAATTAAATGCCATCTTCAGTGTAAATTATAACTATAAAACACAAACATACATCCTTCACATTCTATACAATTGAATTGAAAACCCGATATTGCATTAATTATACAGTAGAATTCAATATAGTTACTGCCCTGGGGTAGAAGCTGTTATTTAGCCTATTTGTCTTTGTTTTTATTATCCTGTACCATCTGCCAGATGGTAAAATTTCAAAAAAAAAAAGGGTTTGCAGGATGAGATGGATCTTTGAGAATGTTTTGAACTTTCTTAAGGCAGTGGGAGGCTCTTCCAAACAGGAGAGAGGGCAACCCATGATCCTCTGGGCAATGACGTTAACCCTCTGGAGTGCTGTCCTATCTGCCACTGTGCAATTGGCAAACCATACAGAGGTGCAGTAAGTTAAGATACTCTCTATGGTGCAGCGGTAGAAGGTCACCAGCAGTTTTTCATTCAGTTGTTTTTTCCTGAGAAGTCTCAGGCAGTATGATTTCTGCTGGGCCCTTTTGACCAGGGCTGCAATGCAAGTGCCCCTGGTCAGGTCAGCTTTTATGGTAACACCCAGAAACTTAAAACTGCCCATGTGCTCCACACGGTCTCCATTGATAAATAAGGTTTGGATGTCTGATCTGTTTTTTCTATAGTCCACCATAAGCTGCTTGGTCTTATTGGTGTTAAGGACCAAGTTATTGTCTCCACACCATTAAAGCAACCGGTCCACCTCATCTCATTAGGCAGACTCATCACCACACCCGGAGATGAGCTCCACCACTGTTGTATCATCTGCAAATTTAGTAATAGTATTATAGTAGCGTGAGTGCTTTCCCCACCACAAAATAGATGGAATAGTAAATGGGATGTGAGCAATGTAGACATTTCCCTCTTACCTGATGCAAATCTCTTTCTGTAAACTTCATTAAGTGGAATGTGTAATTAAAACTGCTCCAATTTTATGAGCATTCTGACCTTATGAACAGTTAATTGGTAATCAACTACTATTTCAACAAGCATTGGTTATAACTCCAAGCCATTTAGAATCTATTAAATGGGTGGCAACAGAATACATATATAATTTTTAAAAAACACAATTTGTTCCTATAATAAAAAACTCTTAAATTTCATATTTTTTCAGTCGAAGAATAATGAATTTTATCTTCATTTTGAATTTTGATTTCCAAGACATTAACTATCTCACTCAGTTATGTGATCTATAATCTGCTAAGCGTCCCTGACAGCTTCTCATCCAATCCAACTCACTTATAAAACACAGAAGAGCAAAAGGCCAGGGACAAATTTTGTGATGATCCACTTGCTTCTTCTCTAGAAGTAGGTGAGAAATGATGGGTGGGAACTCAGAATACCTGTGCATCCACTTAATTGTCTTGCCATCCAAGACAGAATGAAGTAGCTTGTTAACAAGTAATGACATGGGAATTTTGTCAAATGGTTTGCTGAAGCAAACCGCTCAATGCCTCAAATTGTCCCATAAACTTATCATGGAAGTCATTCATTAAAAATGAATAAAATTGGCTTGGCAAAAATTGTTTTGACAAAACAATTATCAACATCTGGTAATATTCACACTGTTTCCAAGGTATTTACAGATCAGTCACTTTAGGATCTGCTCAAAATATCCCCCCTCTGTAGTTCCCAAATTCTCTTCTTCCTCCTCTTCAAAATGGAGGTAACATTAGCTGTTACTCAGCACCCAGCACTTCATATAATCTTGTGAATGTATTTGATAAACTTTATAATAGTTTGGCAAACCATCAAGATGTTCTTTCAATACTCTGAATTATTCTGGACGTAGAGATTTAACTTCATACACTTGGATTTCTGAGCAGAGGCTATTTTTTAAAACACAGAATGGAATTCTTCTTCCAGTTCTATTGCTTCTGGTCCTTCTGAAGAAACTGAATTTTTGATTGCTATATTTCCAATCACAGAAGTCAAAGACAAATGCTGTGACACCAAACCAAGGAAGAGAAATGTTTTATCTAACACATTCTAAGTTAATGACAATGTGATCATGATCACAATATTAAGGGTTCATACGATAATGAGCCAAAGTCTGTGATCTCACCACCCTTTTTTTTACGGAAGCTGCTGTTAGATACAAAAACATTCAGGCTTTTCTTTAAATTATGGCATGTGGAATCTTGTGTAAGTGCAATACCATGTTATACATTTATTCTTCATAGTTTGATCACAACAATGTTTACTTTACCTTTTGTGGATGCTGAACTGGATGGACGCTTCAAGCCACTCAACCCTTGCAATGGGATATCTCCTCCTTCCAAAACACTTTTATAAATCTGCCTTTCATTTCCCAGCCCTGTGGAATGTCCAAATTCTGTTTCCAACTCTCTTTTTACAGGACGGTAGCTGGTATATAAGAGGGAAGACATATTTTCTCAGCAACTAACAGCAAATTATTAAACAAAACATCTGGACACATGCTGTCAATATTCTGGTACCCCAAGAAAACTGCTAAAGGCACCACATCAGATTAATTTCAGGAATTGCACAAAAATATGCAATCCATGGCAAGCCTGTTATGAGGCATATGATATGACTCACCACAAGAAAGAAAAATGAATGGAATAAGGTTTGTCTTCATCAAATGATATGCTTTTTAAAAGTTTAACTCAGACCCTCACTAAATTCAAATATTATCACACCCACTTTTTGTCATTTAAAATATGAAAATAAAAAATAACTATTTTGTTAGATTGAATTATTTTTTGATAAAATTTAATATTCATCTTCTAATGTCAGATATTTTCAGAACCTGCAATGAGTGAAGTATATTTTGGGACAGGAAATTTCTCTGACTTAGGTTGACTCCCTCTTCCTACACTCTTCCTTCGCTGCTCTCGGTTTACCAATACAAAAGATCTGGCTCTCTCTATCTTTGCCTCTTTCCACTGAGTATCTGAACTCTGTCCAACAAGTCTAATTAACCCCTAAGCTTTTTCAAAGGAAACAAAGTGCTAGGTCAGCCATAAAACAGACATAAGGAATGCTGATTCAGAGAAACGAAGGCGCTGAGAGGCAAATAATTTTGTAGAAGTAGCATCTCAGCAAGATACATTTAAGATCCTTCTGAATGATAAAATCATAGGGCTGGAAGGGACCTTTTCTTTAACTTGAGTTTAGCTCAAGTATTCACCACAATAGTTCATAAATTTATGGAGGTCTTCTAGTCCAACCCCCTAACCACGGTGATGGAAACCCCCAAAACTCCATGAGGCAAGCTGGTCTGTTGTAATGACGAGGCAGTCGATTTGTTTGATCATGAACAACTGAATCATGATGATCTTTATTGGAGTCTAGTCTTGCATTTATACACATTTTTAGTTATCCTCCATCACTGGTTAACTTTGGTTACTGCTTAACTTTCGTTACTGTTTAGCACAGTAATCCATACAATTAATTATCTCTAGTTAAAGTCTAACATATGTTTACTTCCTCTCTCTAATCCTCCTTTAGATTAGTGACTTTGTTTACCTGAGTTGTATTTGCTTGGAAACATTCTTTATCTGAGGTTTGCCATCCGAGATTGGAACATTCCTGCAATTACAACTCTACACTGGTCCACTGATTAATTGTTCTTTCTGTCAGGAAATTCATTTCCATGTTGGATCTCCCTCTGATGAGTTTCTGCTTTCTCTTCATTAGGCTATAAACATACCTAGTTCCTTAACCATCCTTCATATGATTTAGCCTGACGAACAATTGAGGGAATGTCTAGTCTAATGAAGAGGGGGGCAAGGGGATAGCAGTCTTCCAATACTTGAAGGACTACCACAGAGAAGAGAGGGTAGACCTACTCTCCAAACCAACTCAGGGCAGGACAAAAAATAATGGGTGGAAGATCATTAAAGAGAAATCCACCCTAGAACTAAGGAGAAATTTCCTGACAGTGAAAACAATTAATCAACTGAACAGCTTACCTCCTGAAGTTGTGGTGCTCCATCATGGAAGGTTTCAAGAAGAGACCGGACAGCCATTTGACCTGGCTTTGTAGGGTTGCCTGCTCGAGTAACGGACGAGAAGACCTCCAAGGTATTTTCTAAAGCTATTATTCTATGTTCTATGACTATAGTTAATTAGTGACTGGAAACCTCTTATGGATTATACACTGAAAAAAGAATGAACTGGTGATTTATGGGTTTGATGATTAGAAAGGATAGAAGGGGAAAGAAGGAAATTATGGTATAACCTTAGAAAGAGAGGGTATAATGTGAATGTAGCTATAACTGCTGTTCACTGGAAGCCACACTACTTTTTTATTTCTATTTCTGTATTTCTTTTTCACTTTTTTATTACTTTTCCCTATTCTTTTTCTCTTCAATTTAAAATCTGTACTGTTTGTATTCTGTTGAAAACATCTTTCATAAAAAATATTTTAAAAATACTGCAATATCAAGTACACAGACCAGAACAGGAAATAATACATTGCATATGAAGGGAATAAGAAGTCAACGTATATAACCCAAGATTTTCAGACTATCTCTACAAGCGCATGGAGAACAGATAGGAAGACCTAGATGTATGAATACACAAAGGACAATATAATTTGTAGGGCGGGTACACTTCAGAGTAAAATGCAAGCCTTGAAACTTATGTCAGTCCTTTAAGGCAGGGATCCCCAACCTTTTCGACGCCGCGGCCCGGTTCCGGCGTCAGCTGGGCGCCGCGGCCCGGTTCCGGCGTCAGCTGGGCGCCGCCATCTTTTTTGACGAAAAATTGCTTTTTTTACCAAAAAAAGATGGCGGCGCCCAGCAACCAGCGGCCCGGTAAGGCTTGTTCCGCGGCCCGGTACCGGTCCGCGGACCGGCGGTTGGGGACCCCTGCTTTAAGGTAGGCCAGGTCAGGAAAAAGACACCGTAAGGACCACTGAAACGCTACTTCATAATAATAGGGTATAATAACAAAATCTTCAAAGCCTGGAAGAATCTCTCTTCCCTTTCCCCCACCTTATACTCAAGAGAATTAAGGCAGGTCAATCTTAAGTTTCTATCTCATCTCCTTGTTTCTTTCGAGGCTAAACAGGCATTGCTTATCTGAGCAGTATGGTTTGTGTTGCACATCTGAGTCCAAAGAAGTGGTTTTTTTTTTAAAAAAAGATCAACCCTAAACCTTTTATTCTAAATTTTTCAATTAATACTTTCAATGCCTTTTGTTCATATTAAACTTTAAGCCACATGGATGAACAATTTCCATTGCATCCCACAAATTTAAGGAAAGGACCCATGCAATTGCTATCCTAGTATACCATGAATAACCCTGTAAGACCTAGAGGTGTATTTCCAACACTGCAAAACATGAACTGAAGCATCAAAGAGATATTTCAAAACTTACGGAGACATATGCTCTGAAAGGGTTTCCAGTGGTGGAGAGCTTGCTGCATTCTGCAAGAATCCAGACAAAGAAGCAGTTACTAAATGTTAAAGTTAAATGTTAAAACATATAGCAGTTACTTTATGTTAAAGCAGAAGACAATATATTATTAACCTCTATCTAGAGGTCAGTTGTTTTTTTATTATCAGATCTTATGCCAGGTTGTGAAATAGCTAATAATCTGGATTTCCCTCATCAGAGAAAATTCATAGCATCCATACTGTAGACATAAAGCTTACTCTTTTGCCTGTGAATGTTTTACTAAAACCCTAAAGGTAAATAAAACAAATTATTGTTTATACCAGTGGTTCTCAATCTGTGGTCTGCGGACCCCTGGGGACTACAATGTGATCACAGAGGGTCCATGAAAAATTGTTCTGATTTTTTGCAGTAAAATCTGAATGAACAAATAAACAAATGAAGGCAAAACAGAATGGGAAGTAGAACAAAATCTTAGTTTTTGATGCTTGTTTTGTAAAACTTGGCTTTTTTAACCTATTGCCCCAGTTAAAAACAATCAGAGGTATAAATCAGCTATGACAGTAGCTGCGTTTGGCATTTCTGCACACGCTGAGAATGTGCGTGTGAATGATGCTGAATGGCAAAGAGAAAGCATGTCACATTTCTTGCTGTCACACAGACTAGCAGAGACCACGGGGCAGAGAAAGCCAAGTCAGTCACTGACACTGTGAGTGAGCATTTGGACCAGTTTTGTAGTCGTCTTTAAGTTCTGCTAACCATTTGGTTATCGTTCACGAAGGTGGTTTCTCGATATTGCTGCAGTGGATTTCATGACAGCACACTTCGGCTTAGCCTCAGGATGGCTGAATTTGAAACGTAAAGGGACTGAGGATGAATGAGCCTGCATCCTGTTCAAAGCAAAGTGAGGCTTCCAGTCATTTTATAAAGTATCACCGTTATAGCAAGGAATATCTGTCAACTGTCTTCACATGTACAGGTCATGAGGACAAGCAACTATCACTATGTGTGTTGTGTTACAAGGTATTGTCCAATAGGTCTGTGATGACTGGATGCCACTAGCTCAAGGCGGCCAGCAGGGGGCAGCCTTCTTGCCACCGCCAAGTCACCTCTGCCAATGATGGTGCCATCATTTCTTCGCAAGACATCTCAGCACAGGAAAGTCACTGCGAGGTAACTCACTGCGGGTGCTGAATGGAGAGCCGGACGAGCAAGCAGGTGAGCTGGCTGTCAGGGGGCAACGGTGCTGGGCTCTGGATGGAGGCCGGGTGGAAGGGCAACCGAGTGGGCTATCAGAGGGCGGTGGTAGGTTGGCTGCGCCACTCTACAAAGTGCTGCAAGTGCTGCAAGGTTTTTTTCCTCCTAAAGTGCTTACAACCCTGAGGCCTTTAAAAAAAAACCTCTAAAAGGTTTTTTTTTAAGCCACAGGGCTCTGCCAAATTTTTTTTTCTATAGTGCTGAGGTGCTGCGAGTTTTTTTTCTAAAGTGCTGAGCCTCTACAACAGAGATGTCAAACTCATGTCGTCATGGCGGCGTCATATCACATATCAGGACTTTTTCCCCTTTGCTAAACCCAGCGTGGGTGAGGGCCAACATGTGACTTATCCGGCCCGCAGACCAGGAGTTTGACAGCCCTGCTCTACAAAGTTTTTTAAAGCCCTGTGCCTTAAAAAAAAAAAAAAAAAAACACTGTACAGAGCCTCCTCTGCACTTTAGGGAAAACACTGGCAGAGCCACGGGGCTTTAAAAAAAACAACCTTGTAGAGAGGTGCAGCTCAAGGCTCGGAGGCAACAGCCGGGGGTGGGGTGTCCAAATAGGAAGCCCCTGCCTGCTGCAGCCTCCCTGCCCTCTACCTCAACCCCTGCTGCAGCCAACTGCCAGTTTGGAGTTTGGGACCAAATCAACCTACTGCCTCTGCCCTCTGACAGGCCACTCACTCACCCCCCCCCCCCGGCCCATCACCACTGCCACCACTGTCTGACAGCTCACTTATCCGCTTGCTCATTCAGTTCTCTATTCGGTGCCCGCAGTGAGTTATTCCCGCAGCAACTTTCTGGTTTTGTGATGTCCTGCGAAGAAATGGCAGCAGCGAGTTAGCAGAGGTGACTTGACGGTGGCGTGAAGGGTGCCCCCTTGATGGCTGCCCCAAGCTAGTGGCATCGACTCCTCCCATTCCGCTGTCCAACGAGGCTATGAAACCATCAAGATTGTGAAGCCATCTAGATACAAAACATAAGGCACATGCCACAAAGAACTTTTTTTTCCCCCAAAGCAGGGAATATGTGGTTGGGAAAAGTAACAAAATGGTCAAGAAAAGATCGAAACTGGTTGTTACAAAGAAAATGCAGTGAGGGCCTCATTTGAAGTTTCTCAACTAATAGCAAAACTCAGAAAGCCACACACACTATAATTGAAGAACTTACATTACCTGCTGCAATAATCATGATTTCTGCACTGATCAGCAAGCAAGCTGCCAAGGAACATTTCATAATAATACCTTTGTCAGATGACACAAATGACACAAGAGGCGAATCGATAGTTTGTCAGCCATATTAAAGAACAATTATTAGAAAGAATTCGCCTATCCCCCTACTCTGCACTGCAACTGGACATAAGCATGGACATAACAAACAAAGCAACCTTACTGTTATGCTAGGTATCAGCATGAGAGAAATGTTTTTGAAGACATACTTTTCATCTCCTTGTTCATTTTCTTTGTGGAGGAAGCATTCAACAGCTTAAACAAATTCATAGTATCTCATGACATGGACTGGTTGAAAAGCAATGGAATTAACACAGACATTGCTGCACGAGCAATGTCAAGAAAGCTTATTGGACTTATAACATCTATTAAGGAAATCATGCCATCAGTTATTTGGTATTATTGTTGCAAACATAGAAGAGCCATAGTTGTTAAAAAGATCCCCAAAAAACTAAAGAAGGCCTTTAACGAATCAGTCAAAATTGTCAATTTTAAAAAAGCAGATTGCTGAATTCAAGACAATTTGAACAGCTTTGTGAGGATATGGACAGTGAACATCAGCAACTTCAGCTACACTATGAGGTTCGTTACCTATCACGAAGTAAAGTTTTGTCGTGCTTTTGAGAACTGAGAGATAAGATTATTCCTAATGGAGAAGCAATCATTTGACAGGTTTTTCCTGATTAGTCAAACTGGCATATCTCTCAGATATCTTCACCCACTTAAATATGCTGAACTTAAGTCTTCAAGGAGAAAAGAAAAGATCCATAAACAAAAATATATGGTAACTGAACGCAGATAAACAAGGGGGGAAGGTGAGCAGAATTGTAAAAACTTTTCATCAAATGTTTGTGTAAAAATTGAATTCAGAATTAGCACATCAAAATACCCTAAAATGGGCCATCTGAGCAAAAAGAATGTTTGATACTTTTTAAAATTTGTATGGAATCATTGCAATAAAGATATTATAGGTCCATGTGTATTAACAGATTAACTCATTTCCCGTTCTCTCCAAATTTGAAGGAAATTTGTAAGAAAGAACATTGAAATAAATATTTGATGTGCTTTAAATCTTGAGTTGTGTCCTGGTGGTCCATAGCCATGGCCCATGGCCACAACAGGTATTTAAAAGGGGTTCGTAGTCAAGAAAAGTTTGAGAACCACTGGTTTATACCACTTTGGGACAGCTTACTCACATTAATAAGAGAAACGATTTCTAGAGAGAAAATTCGATCTCCTACCTTTGAAAAATGAGGAAATAGTATGGCTATAATCTACAGGAAATCCATCTTTATTGAGTCCTCCTTTAATGAGTATTTGCTAATCAAGTGGTGGCAGGTCATTTTAAGGGTATTATCACTGCACTGGCCCTCCACCACGTTAGCGTTCTTGTTCTGGGGAATTTTAGAATTTACTGCCCAGTCAAAAGCAATTCTATATTTCATGCTTGTTACAACACAAACATGGCTGTATCTGGCTCCACACACGACACAGGACGTGTGCTGGATTTAATATTCAGTTCACGGGAGCCAGTGATTTGAAAATGCAGCTTGTTTAGATCCACATAGATCTAAACCACCCAGATCCTTTTCTAGATAGTTTGTCTCTCTGCACTGCTACCAATTGTCTGCTCTCTGCACTGCTACCAAGCACAATTTAAGGCTGTATTTATTGATTCGTCTGAATATTTTTTCCTGCTTACAATCAGGAAACTCTCAGCGTGTTACAATCCAGATAATAAAATACCCCGATGCTGATCTTAATGGTCTAAACCAGGGGTCTCCAACCTTGGCCACTTTTAAGACTTGTGGCCTTCAACTCCCAGAGTTCCTCAGCCAGCTTTTAATGGTTAATTGTTCAATATTATTATACTGATAATGTTTCTATTGTGGACTTCATCTGTTCTTAACATGTAGAGTAATGTTTTATACTCTGCATCATTTACTGTTAGAATCTGCTTTAAATATTTACACAAAACAAAAAGACAAGGATAAGTTCAATCAAATATTTGAGGTCAGCTATTTGTTTAAATAAATACATTTAAAATTAATCAAATACAGAGTTTAGGTATTAAAACTAAATTGAACTTCTACAAGCTGGAAATAAAAACAACTTGGCAATACTATCTCTCTATATTTGTCTAGCAGTATATAAAAACAAAATAGCTTCTGAGATGCTAATTGGGGAAGACTGACTTGAAAAAAAGTAAACATGCATTTAAAAGTCACTATTTTACAGGATCAGCAGAATGGTCCTATTACACTTAAAGCACAGAAATTATGAATGAATAAGGAAGTAACAAACTTCTATTCAAAAGATTTCTGAATGAATGTGTTCATTGTGGCATATATTAAATCAGAAAGGAAAGGAAGGTCAGATTCAAACAATGGACACAGAAGCCCTAGGGCTCATTACAGCCCTTCCATCAACCTTTTGTCTCATGTGAAAATGGAAAGATTCAATGGAGCACAGGAGGTGATGAGAAATGGTGATATTTCCTTTCAATGGACAACAGATTGTCCCAACTGCCAAAGTGGAGCTAGGAATCTCCTGACATACAAACAGCAGTGCCAGTCATCTTGCAGATTTTATAGGTTTTCCTCATTAGAAAAATGAAGGGGCAAAAAGGCCCTTCAGATTGGAGGCAGGTTTCCATGTCACAGACATTGTCAGGAAGTAGTCATCCCTCTTGCAAATTAATAAAGATGTCCTTATATTCAGACACAGTTGAAAGCAAAGTAGGAATCCTTAACCTTATTATTTCCTTGGGCAGACTCTGATTTCTCTTATAGCAGAGAAATGTACAGTACATATTGAGAACTGGGTTTCCTTATTCTTAAATCCAGAATTTCTGAATTTTACTTCTATCTGCTATTAGCCTTCCTTTGCCTCATGTTGCCCTGTTCTCTGGTTGTTCACAGCAACCACCATCACCAAACAGAAAATGGCAAGGAAAGAAGAGAATGTACAATATGATCTGGACATAGTTTAGGATTGTATCTGAATATGACTACTACATGCGACTACCGATTACTATTAATTGGGGAATGGTTAGCATACTATTGCTTATAAGAACAGGTGATATCCATCTCCACTATACAGTTTACAAAACAAGCAGCGTGAGATACCTTCAGTTGCTTTTGATCTGGGGCTTGATAAAGCTTCTCCATTTTATCTATATCTGCATCTAATTCAGTATGATAGAGGCAGTGGTTTTTTCCTGGATCAACCTGGTTAAAAAGGAAAAGGAGGAAAGGCTGAAGAATTGACTGACACTTTTAATAAGAAATTATGCCATACATACGACAACATTTGAATACTTTCTACGTATTCTATTACGCTTAGAAGGTTCACTGCTGAAATTTTCAAGATCAATTTTCTCCTATTTTTTATTAGAAAATAAATTTAAAATGCATTCGTACTAGAAAAAATAACTGCATATCACAAAAATAAAAGATGCTCTGATGTAGCAAAGATTACAATATTTTGGAATATATATATATATATATATATATATGTATGTAGATTTTCACGGGTACAGGTATGTAGGTCTAGGTGTGTTCAGGTCTTTTCCCATGTAAGATTAAGACTACCTTGGCGACGTTTCGGCGAGGTCCCACTTGCCATCCTCAGGCTGGTGCTTTCGGCTTCGTGCCAGTGCAAGCAGTGTGTGATCGGAGCTGCCGTCTCTCTATAAATACTGG